TTTTCCCATAAAGCCTATGGTCCCGGTTGCAACTATTAAAACCACCGAAACAATATAAATTTTAGTAAAACTCTTAGTTTGTTTTTTCCCCTTATACTAATGGATTTTAGATGCGCTCTCTCGATATTATGCACCCCAAATACTTACTAGACAATAAGGCCTTAGTGGTTGAATAACCATGAGTTTTGACGATTTACTGTATTTAATTAATCTTCCCTAATATTTGGTTTACGAACGAATCTAAACATGACCAGGACATCTATTGATTCAACTTATTTTGATTAACATCTAATTATTTGATTCAGCTAATATAAATCTAATGTTTCAACTGATTTATTTCTCTCAATGTAACACTGCAATTTTCAGACTTTTTGATGTTGGGGGCCAAAGATCGGAGAGAAAGAAATGGATACATTGCTTCGAAGGAGTAACAGCAATAATCTTCATAGTTGCACTTAATGAGTATGATTTAGGCCTTGCAGAGGATCAGGGAACAGTAAGTAATAGATATACACTTGTATTTCCTAAAGAAATTGATAGTTTTTATAAGTATGATACCTTATCTAATTTTTTCGTTAATACTTTTGCCTCATCTATAAAATTTATATTAAATTTAAATGTTTCCTTATTTGAAGCGCCATAAGGCCCTTAAAAATGCGTCTGAGGCTGGCTTAATTTGCTACTCCTATTTAACTTCAAAATTAAATTCAGTGCATGCCAATTTTAACAGCATTGGCTGGTGCTAATTTTGTTTCTCCTGTGTATCTCATTGTTAAATAATCACACTTGATTTAATTTCATTAACATTTTTCTTCCATTCTTTTATATTAATGACACCTAAGGGTACTGTGACGCATGCATGAATAAATATTTATACGCAACTTCGAGTTAACAATGCTTTTAGAATACAGAAATTTTACTGCCTCTATTTGCTACAACACTCTTTTTAGGTCTTTTAAGATTATAATTCTCATCACTGCTTCTTCGTTTGCACAGAAAATGCGGTACTTTAACAGTTAAAATATTCTTTATTAAACTGTATAAAATTGATTGGATTATAGTATAATTTTGCTACATGCTTATAATAAAATTTATGATGGTACTATGGGCAATCAGTCGATTATGGGTAGCTACTATTTGTGCTTCACATTTAGCTTCGCATATCTAATTTGATGGATTAAAATATTTCGTATTTTTGAATATCACCGGCTGTCTTCGCTTCATGAATTAAGTATAAGCACGATTAGATTAAGGTTTTAACAAAATAATTTATACATTAAGTCCTACTGGCATAAGGGCACTCGATTTCTGGCAAGACTTGAACTCTTGTCTAAGCCTGCACTATGTCTTATAAGCGTAACACTTTCCTAGTAATTAGGACATAGTCGCATCCGTTTCTAAACGACTACTGCCGCCTTAGATAATAAGGATTGTGGCGAGCCAAATCAATTCTTCGATTTCAAACGAGTTATTTACTTTACTCATAAAGGTAACTTTTTTTACGCAACTCCGTCAACATCCGCAAATATGGCCAATAGAGATAGCCTCAATCTATGCAGAGGCAAGTTAAGTAAGCTTAACTCGGCAGCTCATTTTATAATTCAATATAAGTGTGTAGTTTAATAATATTTTATCTGAATTTTACCGGAAGAGAAGCTGTTTTTGATTATGTTGCAGAATTGATCTTAAACATATAGTTGAGGTCAAAGTTTACAACCCTTAAAATGTAACTCTTAAGCTGTTAAGTATATTCATGCTTTGCCAACTAAGAGAAGATTTAGACAAATTTATTGTTTAGCACTTATCCATACTTTACTAGCTTTCTTTTTGTACAATCTCTTTAGAAGAGGAAATTTGCCCTACGGTTGGTTTCATGAAGAATAAGTCGATTTTACTGTTATTCTTTCAATATTTCTATTATGAATGGGATTTAGCCTTGTATGATAAAGCAGATTTATGTTATTTTTCTGAATGGACAGTGAATTTATGAGAAGACTAGTCGAGCTAATGCTTATAAAGACCTTGTTCTTTGTGAGGGAGATATGGCAATGCCGGCTTAAGTTGTTCATCAAATTAAATTTGATACTGAAGATAGATGGCTTAAAGAGTAGAGGGGCTATCCGTATTAAGAAGTGTGGTATTCATCAGTAACTTTATTACCTCAGATTTTTTTAATGGTTATATTTGGTGGTAAATTGGAGTTAGCGCTTTAAGGGAATAGGATTATATGATTTAAAGGATACATTTTCTACGAGAAGCTGAGCAGTGAGATTTCCTATGCCGCATTTCCATCGAACTTTATTGTTGTACTAGATCCTCAACTTCCTTAAGAGACTAAATCTTCAATAGACCTGAGTTGAGTGCTTGCTCGTCGTGTAACACATCGAGATAACAAAATTGAAGTCATCTTAAAAGATGAAAATTCTAG